CACCGCCGCCGCCGCCGCTGCCACCGCCGCCACCACCGCCGCAGCCGCCGCAGCCGCTACCCCCGCCGCAACCGCCGCCGCCGCCAAGTGTACTCTGCATTGTTTTTTTTTTGTTCGACAGGGATGGTGGGAGGAAACCGCATCGGGTTCGCTGCGCATGCTCCGAATTTGGAGGCGTAGTGTGTTTTGTATGGTTTGTTGTCAAGGGATGGTGGGGGGGACCCTCATTGTCCCTGGTTGGCTCCCAGTCGCTTGGGGAAGGGGGTGTGTACTAATTTGGAACAGTGGTAAACTCTTCCCCGAAGTTGAAGAGGGATGGGTGGAAGAGGGAGCTCCCAGAATCACCTTACGCCCTAAAATGCTGGTGGGATTTCAAGAGGCCGCCTACAGGCCAGAAGTGGCCCCCAACAGCTCCCCAAGACGCCCCCAACACGGCCCACGAACGAGATGCCGCAGCATTTCGCCCACGGGCACTGTTTGAGACCGCCACACTGTTTTCAAAACTCCCCAGCGGCCCCCGAAAAAAACCCACAAGCTGCCGATGGGAGCCCAAGAGGCCACCAAACAGCCCCAAAAAGGCCCAGGAGCCCACGAATGGAGTGAGTCGGCTTGCAGGGGGGGGCGGGCGTGGGGGGGGGCGCCAACGACCGCGCCGATTCCATCGCGGCCCGCTGCCCCTTCCCGGGACTCTCAGGAATCCTCCGGGCCCAGTCGGCCTCGCAGTCGGCGCCGGCGTCGCGCCGCCCGCGAGCGCCAGCCGGCGGGCGGGCCGACCTTGTTACGCATGTTTGGCGCGAGAGACCCGCGCGGGCCTCGCGCTGTGCCCGCGCCCCAGGGCGACGGCCCAGGCCCTTGTAGCTTCCCGCGCTGACGCGATGGCCTCGCGCGCGGCGCAGGAGCGGGCGCCGCCGACCGTTCGGTTCGGTTCCGCCCACTTCTCATGCGCGAACGCAAAGCCCCCCATGCTGCTCGCGCGCTTTGCGCGCTGAGCAGCATGGGGGGCGACGGCCGCGCGTTCAATGGGAAACCGCAACGCAAGTTTCCATTCCCGCGCGCGGGGCGGGATATGAACTTACAGATGCGCCGACGGTCGAGAACTCGCGCGCGCGCGCGCCCGCGCCTGCCATGTTGGGCGTGCGCACTGGGCCCAGAAATCTGCGGCTTGGCCGCCCGATGCGCCCCAAAAATCGCTCCGCCTCCCCCCCCGCCCCCCCCCCCTCAAAACTCTTCCGCGCTCCTGGAAAAACCATGCCGCCGAGGCGGGAGCTCGGGCCGCGTCCTGATGGTCCCCGGGGCACAGGGGAATCAAAGGAATCAGCACGGAATCAGTACAGAATCAAAACAGAATCGGCACAACTGCGACCCCTGATTCTAGCGGAATAAAAAGAATCAGTACGGAAGCAATACGGAATCAAAGGAGGAATCGGCGATGGAACCAGAATCGGCCAGAACGGGGAAGTAGGCCAGAATCGGTGCCAGAACCCATGGAGAGAGGCCTTTTTCCCGCGAGTTCATTGCGGCGGGTCCGCGACGCGGGCGCTCCGCGCGACTTCGCTGGTTCAGCGAGGCGCGCAGTCGGCGCTCAGAGTGAACAGGTTGTTTTCAGGGCGGTATCCTGGCGGCGCGCTGGCGCATTGCGCATTTGCGTATTCCTGGCGGGCTGTTTGAGGGCGACCCGGCCGCGTCGGCCGAATGGCCCGCACATACCGCGCGGCCGATCGCGCGCCCCATGCGGTCACGTCGACCGCCGTGTGCCGCGACGGCCGCGCGCCCCGGACCGCGCCATTGCCGCGTTGGATTGGACGGCGCAGCGCCCGTCCTCCAAAAGTCGTCACATGCATATCGCGCGTGTCGAGCCAGCAGCAATCGCTCACAGAAGCAGCCTTGACAGGCGCCCCATGCCCGTTGTCGCCCGGTCCCGATCCAAATCATAGTTTCTTAGGGTGCGCTTGCGCGAATGTGAGCGCGCGGGCAAGAAACGCGCGCGCGCTTGGCGCAGCCTGGGAAATCCAACATGGACCCCCCCGGGGGCGCGGGGCGCCGGCGACGCCTCCGCCCGCCTCCCGCGCGCCCGACCCCCCCCGCAAGCCGACCCTTCCCACCCACGAATGTGGCGACTGTTGCGCAGTTCGCAGCAGTTGACGGAGCCGCCAGGTTTCGAAATGCTCTGCGCTGCCCTCACGTCCGCCGTGCCTCCCATGAGCCCACGGTAGTGATGACAATTGCGCGGTTTGCAACATCCGAAGGGATCCGCGGGTTCTCGAAGTGATTTGCGCTGCTTTCACTTTCGCCGTGCCCCCTCGGAGTCCACGAGTGTGGCGACCGTTGCGAAGTTCGCTGCTCCCGAAAGAGCCGCGAGGTCACGAAGTGATCTGCGTTGCCCTCACCTGCGCCGTGCCTCCCCGGAGCCCACGAATGTGGCGACTGTTGCGCAGTTCGCAGAACCCGAGGGAGCCGCGAGGTCTCGAAGTCATCTGCGCTGCCCTCACCTCCGCCGTGCCTCCCAGGAGCCCACGAATTGGGCGACCGCTGCGCAGTTCGCAGCACACGATGGGAGCCGCGAGTTCTCGGAGTGCTTTGCGCTGTCCTCACCTCCGCCGTGCCTCCCAGGAACCCACGAAACTGGCGACAATTGTGCAGTCCGAAGCTCCCGAGAGAGCCGCGGGGTCTCGAAGTGATCCGAACTGCCATCTCCTCGGCCGTGCCTGCGATTCTTGCGCAGCTCGCAGCCCCCGAATGAACGCACAGGATGCAGGAGGCGGTGACGAGGAGGAGGAGGAGGAGGGGGAGGGGGGGGAAGGGGGATGATGGAGACCATAGCGCTCTTCAAAACGAGAACCCAACACAGGAGGTTTGGGGAAAAATGGTTCGTGTATTGAAGCTGGAGGTGGGACCGGAAAACAAGCGGCGACAGCACAGGACAAAAAACGGCGCCAGAACCAGAAATTAATCGCAAGACGAAAGCGGGAAAAACATGTGTTGTCGCTTCCAAGAACTAGTAAGTGCTGCTCTGACCGTGATCCATACGCAGTCAGCCCAGCAACCGCTTGCTGGTGGCACGCCCCAGATGGTGTTCATGCGATCGCACCGAGCCAGCCTGACACAAATCTCGTCGCCAGTCATGTTTTGATCACTTGTATGATTCAAGGCGCACCGCCCGCCCATTCCAGTTCTCTCCAGAACAGACGCACACGGCGTTGAGACAGGACGAACATATTCCGAACATGGCGAAATAATCCCACACAGCTGTGTTTGCTTGTTTGTGCGCATCGCCGCATCGCATCGCCGCGAATCCATTATTCCTCATCGCATTGCCTAGTGGGCTCAGGCATGCCGTGCGGCTGATCGATGTCGATTTTGCCGAGTAGTCGTCGGACCGCCATCGTTACCAACGGATGAGTGGCATGGACACTGCTTAGCTTTCTTGGCCTGAACACTGCCCGAAACCAGCCAAATGGCGATGCCCACAACTGCCGAAGAGGGCCTCGAGAAGTCCCCAAAAGGGTGTCAAGCCCGAGGCGCCCCAGGGGAGCCCCTGGGCGGCCCAAGTGATGGCACCTCCGCGTGGGGTCACAAACCTCGCCCGAACCAAAAAACAACAGATGAAAACCTTTACAACAACCAAAATAGGGGCAGGCTCGGGGCTGGAGTGGAGCCCAAGTTGGGCCCAGAATCATCCAAATGTTACCCCGAAGCGAGCCTCAAAACGTAGTCGAAGTTCGCACGTTGAAAAAGATTCCAGGCGAGTCCGAAAGTTTGGCTATACGAGACATCCGTGCGACCCCCGGCGAGGCTCAAAATCATGAAATACCTTCCTGGGTTTTGCCACATATTTGCAGGTCTAAATGTTTGTGCGAAGTTGGGCACAGTAGGCGTTCTTGAGGGCTTGAAGCCCAAATTTGGCATGAAAGCGAGTTGGGAACAGTATGAAATTCGAGCTCGTCTTGAAAACCGTGTGGAAGCTATCCTGGAGCCAGAAAGTTGCGTCGGGCGCCGCCGAACGGCGGAACGGCGGAGGCCTCTGGGGAGGGGTGGAAATTGGGGGCGAACGCCTTGCAAGCCTGCCGCTCAGCCTAGCGGGCGGGCGGATTCAAGAGATTGACGCCATTCCGACGACCCTCAGAAGAAGACATGTGCGGTTTCCGATTTCGTGTGTTGTTTGCCTTGTTCCCGTCGTGTTGCCTGCGCGCAGTTGTTGCTGAGTTGTCCTCGTCGTCATGCTGTGTCTGTTGGTGATGCGTCTGCTGCGGGGCTCCTTGAGGCCTCTTGGAGGCCCAGGGGGGCGCCTCTAGGAGCTTTTTCAAGGCTCAGCCTTGCCTTAATCCGACATCACCCAAACATCAGAGTGAGGGGGCCGAACGGGCATTCATTGTCCCTGGGTGCGTGGCTCTAGTGGGGATCCGTGGTGAGGATTATGTTTCTTGCGTTATTGTTGTTGTTGTTGTTGTTGTTGTTGTTGTTGTTGTTGGTGGTGGTGGTGGTGGTGATGGTGGTGGTGTTGGTGGTGGTGGTGGTTTGTTGTTGGTTGTTGTCGTCGTCCCACCCGCGACCCACCTGCTACCCACCCGCGACCCACCCCGCGACCCACCCGCGACCCACCCGCGACCCCGCCCGCGACCCACGAACAAATCGGCGCCTGCGGCGGGCTCAATGCATATTTTGTAAAAATTAGGCGCCTGCGGCGGGCTACTTCAGAGCCTCGCAGACTGACGACGTCCTCGCCGCTCCCTCACTTTTATCCGCAATTGCGGGGTGCTACGTATCTATAGTATGTGTGCGTCGCCCCCCAGGAGCGATACGCAGGCTGATACATCTTATTATAGTGTATGCTCGGCGGCGGTCGCTTTCTGACCATACCGCCTGGTAACGATCTACTATCGAACGTGCGCCTCCAAGGGGGGCGCATGGTATTAGTATGTCCCTTCTGCGTCCCATTGATCGATTGGTTGACTGATCCACGCCCCCATCTTCGGGGGGGGGCAGCAGCTCGCGTCGGCGAGGCGCTCCTCGCCGCTGGCGCCGAGGACAGGGGCAGGCTGGTGGCGGAGCTGAAGGCGGAAAGCGGCCAGCCAGAAGTTGCAGGGCGGGATCGACCAAATGGGGTCCGAGCAGATGGGTCGGAGGATCGGTCCGCATCGCCGATGCATCGGCGATGCGGCTCGATGTGGGGCCCGAGTTTCTCCGCGCCGACGTCGCCGATGCATCGGCGATACAAGATCCTTCGACCCCACCTACTCGGACCCCCTTGAGGAGGCCTCCAACGAGGGAAGCGGGTCCTGAGGGAGACTGGTTTTGAGGCTCTTCGCCGTTTTTGGCTGCCTGGGGCCGTGCACGGGCTCCGGGATTGTCAGGAAACGGCTCAGGATGAAGAACAGGTCTTGGGAGAAGGACCAGGGTGTAGGGCCCGTTTCCCTTAGCACTTGCTTGTTTCATGATAATTCTTGTCAACGTGGCAGAAATATATCGGAGGAAATTATCGTGTGTACCTTGAGGTTTTCTCGCCTCGGGATGTTTTCTAGCAGCTGCACCTCGCAAAGAGTGGTCTGGGGGTGGACGAATCGCCCCGCTGGAGGGCAGATTTGTGCCCCGAAAGCCATTTAGGAGGAAAGAATCCTTGCCCCCTTTGCACTCGTGGGCGATGTAAGATAAAGTATGTGTCGATGTCCTGCTCTCCATCCTTCCCATGTCCTCAGTGGAAGCCCTCCCCCGTGGTTTTCCCTCGTGTACTGCCTCGCCTTCCCTTCTCCCTGTAATCCATGTCGTCTTTCCTCCCTGTCCCCCCCGTCCCCCTTATTCCGAGTCCACTCCCGCGTTCACCCCTTCCTCACTGCCCTCCCTTCTCTACCCGTTCCCTTTGACCCTACTTCACCTTCGTCCCTTCCCCGTTTCGCGCCTGTCCCCCTGTCCCCCTCTCCTGCCCCTCCGCTCCCCCCGCCCATGACGACATCTTCGCAGTTTTGTTTCCTGCCCCCCCCTCCTTCTTTCTACCTGACACCTGCACACGTCGACGTATTTTCCTATTTCCTCTTTTTTCCTTCGAGCCCTGCCAGTCCAGTCTGGCAAGCCCGCTGGCCAAGCCGGTCGCTCCCCCCCCAGTCCAGCCAGCCTGCATGCCAGGCACGCCAGGCCAGCGAGTCAGCCGACAAGCTTGACTCGGAGTGCTTTTCTGGTTTCGTTCCGACACGCCAGAGTCAGACTCTGACCTGGCCCCCCCTCCAAGGCAACCTGAGGCAACCTGGCGGGGGGGGGGCGGCCCGAAGCCACATCTTCGGCCAGGCAGTCCAGGCCTTGGCCAGTGCAGCCAACCACGGCTGGCGGAGGAGGACAAACGGGAGCAGGAGGAGGAAAAGCACAGTGGAGGAAGAGGAGGAGGTGGGAGGATAATATTCGGCCAGCGCGCTGCCCGTCTCCCTCGTCGTCGTCGTCGTGTTCGGTCGTCGGACATCCGTCGCCCACTTTCGTCCTGCAAGCGCCGCCGCCGATGGTGATGCCGTTGGTGCCCCCTGCCGCCGATGCCGCTGTCGGTGCTGCTCCTGCCGCGGCTACTGGCGCTATTGCTGTCGCTGCTGACTCCGCGTGGCCAAGAGGGGAGTTGTAACTAGGTGAGGTGGGTGCCATTGCCAGGGCTATGAGATCTCATGGGAGTCCATGACCTCTTCTTATTATTGTTATTATTCGCATTTTTCTTTCAACACGCCCTTGGCCTCGCACTCGTCCTCGCATGTGCCTCGGGCCATGATTTTCGAAGCCACCTCATGGACGTCTCCGGATGTTGTTGCCGATGCCATTCTTGCAGTTGCCGCTGCCGCCGCTAAAGTTGGTTCCCATGCCCTTCACCATGATGAACCATAAAGCTTGTCTGTGTTACTCGGAGCATTCATCTGGGCGCGCATGCCGTCGGGCTGACCCGACTAATATACACATGTCTTGGCACAGCTGGCATCCAGCCTGGTTGGATGTTCGTTGCGCTGAAAAGACTCGCTGCCGTCCGATCCGCCCTTCGTCAGTCCATTCCCTTTTCGATCACCGTGGTGCCTGGCCTCGAAGAAGAGTGCGTTGACCATGATGCGGGCGAGGAGTATGAGGATGGGCCCGACAAGGAGAATGATGGGAAGGGCGAGGATGAAGATGGACAGATGACGATCATGAATTCGCCCGCCCTCACCGTTTCTTTGCCATCCTCAAAGCAGCCATCGTTTCTCTGTTCTTCGTTGCAGAAACGACGTGACGTAACGGTGTCACGATGCACCGCTGAACCATTCAAGAGGCTGTGTCTCGTTGCGTCGATACACCATTCCAGACAACGGTGTGGCGGTGCAGGTGTATTGGTGCAGTGGTCCAGTGGCGCACCATTCTAAAAACGGTGTAACGGTAAATCTGCACATCGACTGAGAGAAAGGTGCATCGGCGTAAGGACGTGGCAGTGCATTGTTTCTGATAATGGTATCGGCATACCGTCTCAGAATTTTGGTGCAGTGGTGTTCATTGGGCAGATTTGGCATGTTCACGCGCAGGTTGTCGTGCAGTTGTTGGTGGGCTGCCCATGCTGCGCCCGATAACACTGAGCGCAGCGCGTGCTTCGTACACCATCACTCGAGAGGGCCTGGGCAGACGACAGGTGTGGGAAGTTACGCCCTCGCAGGGTGGTGCGACCCCCATGGGGGGGGCTTTTCATCCTCGCCCTTCACCCTGCGCCATGGGGAGATCTACATGAGCGACGCAGACAGCGGGGTCGTCCGCGCCGACATTGGCGCATAAGTTTCCCGCGTGGGCTCACGCGTAAGTGCCCTCGTTTCCAATACGGTGTGACGCGTTGGCGGCCCCAGTTGGCCACGGCGTAAGGTCGCCATGCCATCTCGCGTAAGACCCGCTTCTTTTCGACGCTTACTGGGCGGTCTGATCACAATATCAAGTTCTTACGTTGCACATGTTCCTTCTGCCGCGTCCCCCCTCGCTGGTTGCACTCGCCCGAGCGAGGCCCCCGCCCGCCTCCGCCCACAGAGAAAAGGAGAACAAGAAAGAGAGAGAGAGAGAGGGAGAGAGCGAGCGAGTGATATGGCCCTCCCCCCCCCTCTCCCCCCCTCCTGCCCCTCTCCCCCCTGTCCCTCATCCTCTCTCCCCCTCCTTCCTCCCCCGTTCCGGGCGCAGCGGTTTCCGCGGGCCGAGGGCCGACCCCGCTGGCACAAGACTCACAGACTCACGGCCTCCCGTTCCGCCCTGACCCCCTCCCTCGTCCGCCCCTCGTTCCCACTCTCCCCCCCCCCTCCCCCCTCCGTTCGCACCCCCAATCCCTCATCCCGTCCCCCCACCCCCCCCTCCGTTCCCCCCCTCCGTTCTCCCACCCGCTCCGACCCCGAATAGTTTGGCCCCATCTGTATTCTGCCCTCCATGGCCACCCGTGCGCGCCGCTGCTTGCTTGCGCGGAGGGGTCCATGGAGGGGCGTTTCCGTCTACTAACCCTGGGCTCACTCACTCTATTTGCCAGTCCCTCGTCTCCTCCTGTGGCGTGATCCTCCCTTCGCAGGGGCACGTGAACGATTCCTGGGAGTCCACGGCGGCGGCTCCGCAGGCCAACTACGTGCTGCAGAAGTGCATCGAGGCCCTCCCTCTGAAGGAGCCACTGTCAGCAGGGCAGGCCGACGAACAATATCCACTTGCCTGCGGCAAACCTGGCCACCGCGCAAGGAGGTCGAGGGGGGAGGTTGAGTTAAAGACGCGTATTGGAGCTTCTCTGGGGCCTCTTGAGGTCGTCTCGGGAGCCTTTTAGTTTGGCTTGGGAGGCCTTCGGAGGTATGTAGGGAGGCCTCTGGGAGGGTCTCTTGGCCCTCTCTTGGGGCGTCTTGGGGCCTCTGGAGGCGTCTTGGGGCCTCTGGCGCCTTGGGGGCATGTTGTGGGTCTTTGAGGCAATATTGTAGAGCATGCTGTCAGGGTCAGCTCGGTTTCCCCCTGTTGGGCCTCTCTTGGGTGGCCTTCTTGTGGGCCAGTTGGCCCGTCTTGATGGCATCGTGGGCCGTCTAGGGGCAGCGTGGGGCCGTCTTGAGGGCCTCTTGGGATGTCTTGGAACACTCGTGGGGACATTTTTGGGCAGTCTTGGGCTCTCAGAAGTAAGAACGGCCCGGTGCGTTGGTCTATCTGTATCAAGAAAGTGGCAGAAACGAAACGACAATATTGTTTGCTCTCGAGGGCCTCTTGGGCTTCCTCTTGTAGCCCTTTTAGGCCGTCTTGTAGGTCTGTGCGGCCGTCTTGAGCCAGCCTCGGGCCATATCGTGGCCCTCTCAGAGCATATGTAGGCCTCCTTGGGCAGTCTTTGGACGGCCTTGAAGGCCTCTTGACAGTCTTGGGGCGAGCTCGGCTGTTTTGTGGCGTGTTGCTACTGTTTAGGATGTGTTTGTGTTTGGCTGTTGTGTCGATTAGTTATTTGGGATGTTACAATTTGTTTTACTCCCTCAGGGAGGAGGTCTCGGGGGAACAAGCTTCTCCAAGCATGATGTCGTGAGCTCTGGAACGGGGGGGCGATATTCCAAGAACGCGGGCGACCTTGACATGGGGTTCGACCCTTGACAACACGAAAGAATCCCTACCAGGCCGCGGGGGAACAGTCTAACACGCGCCAGCGTGTCACCCGCGGAGGCGTGCAGATAGATGCGCTCCGCGGCCTGAGCTGCAGGGCTGCCTTTCTCCACGGGGCGGGGCGTGAGCGCAAACATGATAGCGTTTTGTGCAGCGCGAAGGGCAAAGTTTGGTGGCCAGCGGAAGACGACAAGTTACAGTCAAGTCGCAGAGTAAGAATGAGCAATTATCCAAAGGCTTCCCTGGCATCCTTGCCCCTTCGGCCCATCCTTGGCGACTGCCGCTGGCCAACCCTGTTCGAAAACGCCAGCATGGCCCTCCCGGGCCCCTGCATCCTTGCCGCGCATCCTTCTTATGCGACTTGATTGTGCCATCGTGAAGTTCAGACGATCGTACCCTGCGTTTTGTAATAAGCGTGGGCGGGAGGGCGGGAGGGGGGCGCCACCCCGCGCGACGTCGGCCCCAGTCGGCCCATGCCACCCGCCGCAAGATCCAGACCCCCCCCCAGGCCCACGGGAGCGGACAGGTTGAACGTTGACCCCCCGTCGGGGCGGGGGGAACCCCCAGACTTATTACGAAACGCACAGTAAGTTTCCCGTGTTTCGGGAGGGCGGGGGGTTGGTCGCTTCTCGCGAGGACCAGTCGGGGCCTCAGGTGGCCTGGCGGGTGGCCTTGGCGCGCTGGGGGGTTGGCAGATTTGGCGCCTCAGTTGCGATTGCGGGCTCGAAGCCAATCCGTCAGCAGAAGCCGGCGGGTTTGGGGGGCATCGCGGGTTTTTGGTGTCCGATCCACCGATGTTTTTTCCACGAGGTACCATGCCCCCCACACCCGCTTGTCCAGAGGATCACGTGCTGGTTGCACCAGAAAATAGGTGGGGGGGCGATGCGAGGATGTCAGCAGAACGCCGTCGTTATGCGGTCGTTTCCATCAGGCACTGCGACAATGTTGTCAGCCGTACGTTGGGCTTTGGCGATCGCTCTGGTGCTCTGGTGTCGACGTCTTGCTTTTCATCGCGCGCGCCAGGGTCTCTGCAGGCTTGATTGTTCGGAAGTTGTGTTGATTCGACGCTTTGTTGCCACAAGTTCTGTCTGTCCTGCACTTTCGCGAAAGCACGGGCATAAGTTTATTCGTTCGTCTGTCACTGGATGTTCGGTCTAATCGCTGTGGCCACAACACACTGACCACCAAACATAACCAGCCATGAAACAAACTGCGTCCCGTGGGTGCCCCCACATGGCACCATCAAACCAACATGCATCTGCACCTCACATCCTTCACCGCAACCGCGCGGGCCACCAGCTATAGAGCTCGCTCGGGCATGGAAAGAGAGCTCCCCCCGGCGCCATCAAATCTGAAGGTATGCGATATTCAGAAGAGTCCCATTTGAATATATGTTTTGGCCAGCGCGAAGTTCAGACCAGGCCAATCGGAATTGATTTTGACGGCAAAGGTGTCAGGCAGAACGCTTCGATCGAACCCAGGTTGGGCCAATCTGAGATGCAGACATGGGCAATCAAGTCACAATTTTAGGGGAAGTTCAACAGATTGACCAAAGGGTTCCCCATGGGGTTTTCTCGCGGGCTTTGTTTCAGTTCTTGTCGACGTTCAATCACTGCTCTCGGTACCATTATGCGCTGTGCCGTTAGTTCGTTGCATCATGCCTTTGGCCATGGTGAGTTCTCAAGCGCGGGTCGGATAAAAGACCGCGCCAAGGATTGCCATTTCATCTGCGACGAGATGCTCGTGGGTGGCGTCACCAAGGCATCGTGGTTGCAGCGATGCGGAAGCAGTGTTGACTGCGTTTGTTTCGAGTCGGATTTGCGAACGCCTGGGATGGTGGAATGATGAGGCCTCCCAAATGGGGTCCGAGTAGATGGGGTCGGAGGATCGCGCCGCATCGCCGATGCATCTCCGATGCATTGGCGATGCATCGACGACGTCGGAGAAAGGGGGCGATAGTGAGGGGATTGAAGAATGGTGCACATCTTGCGCACCTTGGGGGCAGGGGCCCAACATGGGCACGAAAGGTGCCTCGTTTTCGCCCCCCGTGAATCGCCCCCCTGTGACACATCGCCCAGCGGCGGCGCCAGCCAGATCATCGCACCCTGCACGCCCGCGCTTGGCCTCGTCGTGCGGACACCTCCCCGGCGGCAAGACCCCGCGCGTGGAGCACCCGTGGTGCAGCCGCCACGGCGGCCCCTCCCTCGCGACCCCGCCTGCAGGAGAGTGCCGAGCAAGGGGGGCTGTGAATTCGCACCTGCGCCGTGCACTCGCAGACGGTGCCGGCCGCCCAGCACTCGCGGTCGTTCGAGGCAGCATCGAGGGGCGTCCAAGAGAAGAAGAAGGAGGTGATGGCTGGGGTGGGAGACATCATGGCATGGCGGGGGGCCATGATATCGCCCTGGATCCAGTGCCACCCCATGTTTTTGCAACACGTCCATTGGCCCCCCCAGGCGCCGCGCACATGCCTCGGAAGATGATTTGCGAACCCCCCTCTTGAACTTCCCTCCCTTGAACGCCCTCGTCAGCAGGGAGGGTGCAGGGTGTGGTCGCTGGCAACAGTTCCCGAGGCGGCGCACAGCAAGTTCGGGTGCCGCATCTTCCAGCGCCTCATCGAGCACTTCCCCGAAGAGGATTACTGAGGGAGAAGCAGTCGGACATCGTACACACGTGTATAGATATATATATATATATATATACATACATAGAGTGTGTGTGTGTATGTACAGTGCTTGGGTTGTAGGTCAGGGGTCTCCTGGATGCTTGCGAGGATCTCTTGGGAGGCCTCTCCGATGCCTCTTGCAGGCGGTTCTTTGGGGATGTCTTGGGGCTTCTTGGGGCTTTGGGGGGCTTGATTTCGGCCCCTTGGGGACTCTTGGGGCCTCTTGGGCGCACCTCGGGGGCTTGTGGGGATCGTGGGGCCATCTTGGGGCAGAGGGCTCAAAATATCAAAGGTCCCCATCCTGGGCCCCTCTTGGGACCGTCTTGGGAGCCTCTTGGGCCCTTCTTGGGGGCGATCTTGGGCGCCTCTTGGGCCGTATTGGATACTCTGAAGACCGAAAAGACGGTAATACGAAACCTGTACCAAAAAATAAAACACTTTTGACAATTTTGACTTCTTTGGGCCGCCCTCCAGGGCCTCCAAGACGGTCCAAGAGGCGCCCAAGAGGGCTCCAGGACGGTCCTGGGGCCATCTGAAGCCACGTTGGACATGCAATGACATGCACGTCCCGAGCAACACGCTGTAGGCCTCTCGAACAGTCACGCGGGGATCTTCCGAGAGCGCCCGGAACTCTGGGCTGTGGACCCCTTAACGTATATTCACAGAGCGCAAAACAGAGAATTCGAAGCGACTTGAGGATATTCTGTTTTGTGCCTCAGAGCAGGGTCGCGCGGATAGATCAGGACAATGCGCGTTACGCGCGCTTATGTTCTAGGCACATATTGGCCATGGCTCTTGTGTTGGTCGTGTCATGGGCGACACTGCGAATCTCCCTACATGTGTGTCTTGCGGAGCTTCCGTCCGCCTCGGCCCTCTCCTGTCTTCGTTCCTTTCTGTCCTCGGGGGTCTCTTGGGAGCCTCTTGGAGGCCTCGTGGGCGCCTGTTGGGGCCTCCTGTGCGCCTCGTCGGGTCCTCTTGAGGCGCTCTTGGGAGCGCTCTTGGTGACATCTTGGAGGAGATCGATCAAACACGATGGGAGCTCCAATTACGGTTCCCCCTCGGGAACCCCAACAATCGCTTCTCGGGCCTTTCTTGGGGCGCTTTTGGAGCGCTCTTGGGCGCTCTTGGAGCCGTCTTGGGGCTCTCTTGGGCCTCTATTGGGGCCCTCAGGGGCCCTCTTGGTGCTGCCTTGAGGCCTCGGAAGGCCATCGGAAGCGAAAAGGCGAGAGGCAGAATTGATTCATTTGTTCTAGGTTATGAAAAGAGTTTGGCCTCTCGGCGGCCTCCTGGGGCCTGGGGAGGCTCCGTAGCCACTCGGAGCCGTCTTGGAGCGGTCTTGCGGCCTCTTGGAGCATCTTGGGAGCCACATTGAGCCATTTGGACTATCTTGAGCCATCTTGGAGGTCATCTTGGGCTCTCGGAGGCTCTGAGGCCCTCCTAGAACCGTATTGTGCCATCTTGGACGCTCCAACGCCTCGCGAACCCCCCCCCTCCAGGTCCAGGGTAGGGGTAGGGTGATGGGTTAAGCTACCCACCCGCCCGCAAGCCGTCTTGCTCACTTCCACCCGCCCTCCCAACACATGAGTAACGTCCGGGCCTCAGCATGTTCAGCGGTCGTCTTGGGATGGACAGCTCTTGGGAACCAACATCGAGCCCATGTGCGCCACGCTGGGGCGAGGTGCGCCACGCGTGCCAGGCGCGCCACGCGCGCCAGGCATCCCTGGGGCCCGAGCGTGCTAGGCACGCCTGGTGCGCCAGATGCGCCACGTGCCTCCGCGTGCGCCAGGTGTGCCGCATACTCCAGCCGCGCCAGGTTCGCCACGTTCGGGGCACGTGCAGAGTGTGTCAGGTGCGCCTGCGCACGTGGCAGCACACATCGGGAAACATGTCGGCCCCCACCATCCATGTAGAAAACCAATGCCCATCATTGTGCCTGGTGGGCCGGCGCACAGCAGGCCATACCCCACCACTTGACAGTGATCGCGGGGCGGCCGCGCATGATCCCGATTTAGCCGCGAGGTGCATTTTGTAAGTTTGTTTGTCAGGGATGGTAGCCCTGCGCGCAGCAGGCAATATGCTGACACACCCGCCGTCCCTGTCACAAAACAATGCAAAGTGCTCGCGGGCATCATGAACATGACTCCAGACTTTGGCCCACATAGTATTTTGCGTTGTTTCTTCACAAGCATTGTGTGGGGGGGTGCGCATCGGGGCCCTCATTGTTCCTTGTTGGCTTCCGGTCTCCTGGGGGAGGGGGTGTATAGTAATAGGGAACAGTGATGAACCCCTCCCCGAAAGGGGAAGAAGGGGGTTGGAAGAGGAGCCTCCCTAGACCACCTGCGCCGGGAGGACTGGTGGGATTCCCGCGCGGCGCGTTAGCCCCTGGCAAGGGTACCGAGGTCGCATTCGTCGCCCCCCTGCACTCACAGGTGCGGGCCCGAGCGATTTGACACTCAACACATGCAGTTCAAGGTCGTACGCGACGCTGGAGGAGTCGCGGATTGCAAATGCGATGATAGGGGGAGGCTTGCACGCGCAAGGCCGTGCTCCAACTCGCCACAACCTGCCATCGACGGTCCAGGCCGCGCTTCCAGATGGCGCCGCGAGGGCACCTGCCCCCTCAGGGCAAAGGCGGGGCGGGACAAGCCGAAAGCGCGCCTGGGCCGACCCGCCCCTGTGAGTGAAAGCCAAGGCGAGGCGAGCAAAAGGCAGCCAAAAGGCCGCCTCCCCTCAGAGAAAAACGCGATGTAACAAACCCCGGAGACAAACGCATCACGTTTGGAAGATTTCCCCGTCACGATTTCCATGAGGCTCCCCGCACACAGCGCCGGATTTTGCACCCCCAACATTTCCCCCGGATGGCTTATTGGTGATCTCCGCCCTGCTTGTCCCTGACGTTCCCCGCCGGGAGGCGATCTCGCTTCGCGCGTGGTTTGCGCGGTTGCACGGGCAGTTTTTTTGGCCGCATTTGAATGTTGATCTGCGTGACCCACAGCTGTTGCGCCATGCCGAGATCCGGCTAACCAGCCAGGCCGAGACTTGCAACCACCGACCAGGGGCACCCTGCATCCGTCAGGAAATCCAACAGCAGGAAAGCTCGCACGCTCGAGTCCATGCAGTCGCGCTGGGGATAAAGAATGACGACGGCCCGTGCGATGGCGATCGCTGATTGATGAAGCGGATGACGATGTTGACGCCGACGGCGATTGCCTTCGAGACGCGTTGACGAAGAAAACGAAGTACGACAAATGTTAACACCAGGGAGGGCCAATGTGGCCCCCCGTTGCACCCCCCGCCGATCCTCCCCCTAAGATAAGGTGAGTGATTACTGTAGCCTTAGCCAGTCCACCAGCCATTCCTGCAAAGTTTCCTCCTCGTGGGCCGCCTTCAATTCGGCGCCTAGTGGGGACCATTCGGGGAGTCGTGTTGCTGTGTATTGGGGCCCTTCGGGGGCTCACTGGGCCTACTGGACGGTATCTCTGTGTTTGCGTGGGCCGTTTCAGTGTTCTCTTGGGCCTTGTAGGCCCCTTCGAGATGCAACATTGAATCAAATAATTTAGCTTGTTCCTCGGGTTAGCCTGAGCCTTCCTGTCGGCTTCGTTCGGGCGTTATTGAACTTATTGACGTTCTTTCTCTGTGTCTCTCTTTCCCTCATATGTCTGAAGCGCTTTCGGCGATATTTGAAGCCGCAGCGTTCGGGACACACAATATTGAAAACGCGCTTAGTTTCCACTGTCTTTGGTCGCTGGCATATGGTCTGCTTTTTCGTCCGTCTGTGAATGTATTGGAGCCCGTCGGGGGATTTCTATGGCTACATAAGACTCCTTCCTGCATCCTCGTGGGCCGTCCTGGAACTCTATTGGGCCGTCTTGGGCTTTTCCGGAAACCTTCCTTGGTTGTCTTAGAGGCATTTGTTGGCCAGTCTTGGGCCTCGTGAGATCGTTTTGAGACCTTTTGTTGCGGTTCCGAAGCCTTCAAATGTTGAGAAGTGTTCGAAACGAAAACGTTGAAACGCCTTCAATGCTTGATATATTCAGTTTTGTTGTCTCTTCTGGCTCCTGTCTGTCCCCTTTGGGGGGCCTTTTGGGCTACCTGGGGCAATCTTGGAGTGTCTCGGGGCCCTTTGTGGACTCCCTGAGGCGCACCCGAGCGTATAGCTCCCAACCTGTCCCACTGCCCTCGTGCTCCTTGCCCTCCATGGCGCGTGTTGCACAGAGTGGATAGGTGGAGGGTCGGGCAGGGGACCCGAATAGGTCGCCCAGGCCTTCCCGAGCGCTTTCAGAGCGTGCCGGAGCTCTGTGGGACGGCCGTGGCGCCCGACACGTGCGCAGAGATCGACGATTTTTCACGGTCCTATGTTGTCCCAGTCTTGGTTTCATCTTCGAGGGAGCAGTTTTGCTTCCGAAGCGCCGGTGGGCCAGGAGATTGTTTTTTTATCCTCTGGGGGGTAACGCTCGTTACCCGGGCCTCTCCCCCCCCCCCCCCCCCCGTAACGGTACCGCTCGTACGCGGGGGGGGTCTCGGTCTTCCCCTCCAACATGCTGGTGCCCGAAGGCATGCGCACTGTGGTGTGGTGGTCGCAGGCGCACTGTGGGCGCTCGCAGGCCATTGCGGCGCTCGCATGCGCGATGCTGGTGCTTGCGGGCTTTGCGCTTGTACTCGAATCGTCGTCGTCGTCGTCGACGGCGCCCGAAAAACGGCCTCCGGAGTCCGACAAAGGCACGCGCGGCGGGCTTTGCGCTTGTACTCGAATCGCAAGCCACTGTGGTGCTCTCAGGCAGAGAGTGCTGCTCGCGCGCATACTATGGCGATCGCAGAGCGCCCCTGCCTCGCCATACCCCGCCCAGCCCAAGCGTTACCGTTACCCGAGGGGCACGACCCCCCCCCCCCCCCCCGGGTAACGAGCGTTATCGGCCAGAATAAAAAAACAATCTCCAGAAGGACGGACAGTTGAGTCACGATTCGGCTCGGCCCGAGGACGTCGCCCCTTTGCTGGAGGCCCTGCTCAGTGAGGGCGACTTGCAGGAGCCTCCAGCATCGCCTTTCCTTCTGGTTCATGGTTTCTCTCCTTCCCTGTGTCCTCGTTCCCTATCTCCCTCTTTCTCCCTCCCTCCCTATTTCTCTCTCTCTCTCTCTCTGTTTGTTCTTTGTTGTTGAAACTCTCTCTCTCTCTCTATATATATATATATATATCCATCTCTCTCTCTCTCTGTCCCTCCCTCCCTCGCTCAATGGTGATATCTTCTTTGTTGTTGATGGTATGGCAAGCATTGCGCCATGGCGTACTCAGTACCAGAGCGTGCTCTCACGGTGTGAATTCCTAATGCTGATGGGGGTCTCAATGGTGTACAAGAGCACGCTGGCGCACTCGCTGGGTGACGCGCCATTGCTCACACTGTGCCGAGCGCGCTATCACCAGGCTTGCGTGCGTATGACCCATCCGTAGAGTCAGTCCTACATAACCTTCGGCAACGTGAGCGACAGAGTTCGCGCCGGACCCTCGTAGATAGCAACACCAGGATGCATTGAACATGGTAGGTTCCATCGTAGTCATTGTTGATATCAGTGCCCATTGGGACCAGACAGAGCCTTGGACCCGGAATATCAGCACGTTGGTGTTATTCAACGGGTCTTCTTGGGTAACCAACATATGTTGATGCACATACGTATTAAATGTGTATATGTGCATGCATGTGTTAAGTATGTTTGCATGCATGCGTGCATGTATGTATGTATGCAAGTGTGCATGTATGTATGTGTATGGCTGTATACATGCATACATGCATGCATACATGCATGCATGCCTGCATGCATCAAGTATATATGTGTGTGCTGTATGTATGTATGCTTGTCTGTATGTTTGCCGTTATGTATGTATGCATGTATGTGAATAAATGTGTGTATGCATGGTGTCATGATTGCATTTATGTGTATGTATATAGATGTACATATGCGTATGCATGTATGCATGTGTGAAATCATGGTTGTGTGTGTATGTGTACGTCCGTATGTATGTGCGTGTGTATGTTATTTATGTGCGTGCATGTATGTATATATATATGGATGTATGCCAGTAAGTAAGTAATTGTATATATACGCATGTGTGTACGTATTTCGTTATGCATACATGAATGTGTGCATGCATGTATGCACATATGTATGGTTGCTGGTAATTAAATAGGTAAGTAAGCAAGCAGGTCAGAGTGTATACCCGTGCGTGTGTATATATATACATTAACATAGTTATGTATATGAACATCAATGAACATTCATGTGTATGTGTATTTGTATGTATAAATACATATCCCAGGTGACGGGCCCCCCTGGCCCCGCCCAGGGACCTCCGCAGGGCACTGGGGGACCAGGGCACCCGAAGGCCTTCACGAGCCCTCCAAGACGCCCCAAGCCGTCCCCAAGACGGCTCCAAGAAGCCCCCGCAGGCACCTGGGCCAGGCAAGATCCTTTCCAGCTGGCCCACGAGGCCCTCAAAACGTCCCAAGAGGGTTCCAAGATGGTCCCCATAAAGGCCCTGGGAGGTTGAAATCCCCTCATTCCCTCCCGTGAAAAGGAAACGTGCGCTTTCAGTATCTACAAGTGGCGGGTTGCCCCAGCATGCACTGCGACCCCAGACGCCGCGAAGACCGCCCCAGAAGAGCCCAAGACGCCCCTAAGAGAGCCCGATGCCGACCCGAGGGCCCCGAGAAGGCCCAAGACGACCCAGGAAGGCCCCTACAGGCCCCCAGGGGGACCGAGGCCCCCAGACAACCCCGAGAGAACCCACGGATGCCCACAGCTCTCGAAGCCGGCACAGAACAGCCCCAGGCGGCCTCAGGGGCTTCTAACATCGCTCAAAGATGCCCCTCAAGAGGCCTTCCTAAGAGAGCCCCAACGGGGCCGCAAGACCCCCCAACACGGCCTGAGAGCCCTCCAAACGGCTTCGGATCTTGTGCTCAGTATGGCCCCAGCAATCTCCTATGTGCCCCAGAAGCGCCCCTCAGAGGACAGAAGACGCCCCCCGGGTGGACGACGCCCCTGGCATCGTCGATCCTCGATTTTTGACTGCTCGACGACGACGACGATGACGACGACAACGACGACGACGACGACCGGGTCCTGGGGGATCCTGGAATTGGGTCCAGGACAGTCACGGGTCCAGGGTTGTCTTGAAGGGTTTTGGGGGGTCCTCGGGGCCATGCCCTGGGGCATCCTGGAGAATGTGCAGACTGTCCGTTCGTACCGAAGGAGGGGGAGGGGGATGAGGAGGGAGGACGGAGGGTGGAGGAGGGTAGCACATGAGTGAGGCACCCTAGGGGGACCACCGACGAGGGAGGGCCTCGGGGAGGCTCAGGTCGCGCTCGTCGTATTCGAAGGTGCTCGTTGCAATCGTCTGACTCGTACTGCCCGACGTACGCGTCGTATTCGCGGCCGGGATCAGTTAGGATGGGAACGGAGGTTCGGCTGGGTTTCAGGATCAAATTCGAAGACGGTTCGTTTTTGTTCGGTTTGAGTGTCAGAAACGATTGGTTCGGTCCGGTCCGGTTCGCGTTGCGACAGAGACTGTTCACACCGCATCGGTTTGGCCCAGTTTGGTTCGGGCAGTTCGATTCGCTTCGGAATCATCCTGTAGACAGTATTGTCGCCGTCGCCATCATCGTGGTCGTTCGTCGTTCACCGTAATCGTCGAAGTCGTCGCAGTCGTCTTCGTCATCTTCGTCGGGGCTGCCGTCGTCGTCGTCGTCGTCGCGGTCGTCCAAAGTCGAGTTTGCAATCGGGAGCGTCTGCGCTAAAACCTAAGCGGGCGCGAAGAGCGCGTGGTTCAGACCAATGGTGGCGACGAAAGAGGTGGAAGTCGACATTGCGCTGACGAGAAGCGCACGTACGATGTAGATATGTTGCATTGTGAGATATTTATCAGTCTCTCTCTCTCTATGTATATATATGTGTGTACATCTATATATATATATATATACCCGTGCACGAGGCAGGGGCGCCCGGGGGGGATCTGGGTGATCAGCGCCGGTCCTGCTGCTCCCCAGCCCATCAGCTCAGAGTGACTTGTCTGCGCAAGCGGGCTGGGCCAGTGACAGGTACAGCCAGTTTGCACGCGCGTGGCCGACAGGAATCAGCAGGAGGCCTCCGAACAGATTCAGCAGAAGGACAAGGAGGGGCGGACTGGCGGAATGATCAGATACAGAGTCCAAGGACGAGAAACATAACGATCGAGAATGCAGGAGGAGAAGGACAGTGCGGCAGATGTAGGGGCAGGGGATGAAAAGTAGTAGGTGGGCGAGAAGGAGGATGAGGAGGAGGAGGAGGAGGAGGACGAGGAGGAAGAGGAGGAGGAGGAGGAGGATAAGGGGATGGGGAGGTGGAGGAGCAGGATAGGTGATGAGAAGGAGCAGGACGCTGAATAGCAAAAGGAGGAGGAATAGGAGTAGGATACGGATAAGAGACTGAGGAGATGATGAGGCCGAAGAGGAAGTCGAGGAGGTGGAGGGTGACGAGGAGGAGAATGATGATGATGATGAGGAGGAGGAGGAGGAGGAGGCGGTGGCAGCAGAAGGAGGGAATGTCGGAGTGTACCCCCACAAGCAAGTGTTCGCTCGCGCCCCCCCGCCATCCTTTAGCACTCCTCCCTCGAGCCCTGCACTCTGCCTTCGACCTGCGGTCGTCCCGAAGCGAGGCATTGATGATCTCCCGCTTCGGCAACTTTGTGGTGCAGTGCATCTTGGAGCCCAGGGGTGGGAGCAAGCCGAACCTTTGTCCCCGGCGGGATCTCCTTGGATGGTTTTCTTGATGGCTGCTTCGGCAGCTCCCGCATCGCGTGTGCCCTGGGACAGCGCTCTTTCCTGCTTGCCTCGCGTGCGCGCCAGCTCGCTTCCGTTGCCCTTCGCGCCGCCAGCGTTGCTGCAAGGAAGCTAACTGCGAGCGTGCCCGCTTGCGGTTGCCGCGCATCGCGTTGCCAGCGTTGTCTGCGAGGAAGTTCATTCCGAGCTTGCCCACTCGCTCACGGTGAGTTTCGCGCAGCGAGCGCGTCTGCCACGAGGCTTACTCCTAACCGTGCCAGCTCCCCCCCAGCGCACATAACGTTGCTGGGGCCAGTGGCCACGAAGCTCCCTCGGAGCGTGTTGGCTCGCTCCCCGTGCACATCGCGCTTGCAGCGCTGCCAACAGGAAGCTCATTCCGAGCGTGCCAGCCTGTTCCTGGCGCGCATTACGCTCAGCATTGCTGCCAGGAAGATCACCCGAACGTGCCCGCCCGCGACGGGCGCACACAGCGTTAGCAGGAAGCTCACTCCACCCGTGCTGTGTCGCTCCCCGAGCTGGCGCTGACAGCATTGCTGCAAGGAATATCATTCCAAGCGTTGTGGCCCGTTCACAGTGCACATCACGTTGCTAGCATTGCCGGCAGGAAGTTTCTCACGAGCAGGGCCCTCTCGATTCATGTCCCATGGCGTTGCCCACAGAATATACGGTAGTAGCGGGCGAAACCAGTCGATGGAATTGCATGAGCGCGCTCCCAGACATAGGCACTGCGAATGTTCGATGATGATGCCCAGCAGGAGCCGCTGGTTTCCTTGCCGATCTTCCCGCGCGTCTGTCTGTATGCATGGCCTTGCCTGCTCACTCCGCATACGTACAGCTGGATCGTCGGGGAGCAAGCAATGACATACATAACCAGAACAACTCGGAGGTCCGCGCGCGGATCTTTCGGATCGGCGCTGGATCTCCCTCTCCGTCGCGCGGAGCGCGCTAGGGGCGGCGCTGGAGGCGCCGCCAGGGTGCCCCAGCGCCGATCCGAGGAGTCCGCCCCGAGCTCCGAAAGTTCATGTTTATGCCGTTCTCTGTTTCGCTGAGCTCACAAGCCCGCCGCAGGCCGTGCGTTCCAGGGCAGCCCAGACAGGCGCCACCGATGGGCGCCGAGGCGACGGGCCAAGCAAGGGTCCCCCGTGGCCCCCCCTTGCCCCGCACCCCTCGTCCCCTGGGCCACAGGGAGGGGAACGCAAACGCGACAATGCCCTTCTTCGCAAACGACCGTTGTCTGATTCGGAGGGCAAACAATGACACACGCATAACAACTCGGAGGTCCGCGCGGATTTCTCAAATCGGCGCTGGAGCCCCCTGGCAGGGCCTCCGGCGCCGCCCCTGGCGCGGAGGACCCTCAAAAGTTGATGTTTATATTTTTCTTCCTCCATAGTAAACGACAGCTGGTTTGTTATGGGAGTTACGCTTGTTTGTTTTTCGTGTTATTTGTCTTCCCCCCTGTCCGCCGCTCATTCTCTTGACTTCGCTCGCTTCTGCCACTGGTCTCGGACTGGGTCGACAGGGTCGCTTTGTCTATTAATGTTGCGCTTCGAGGGCTCACTGCGGTCTGGACTCGTTGAATGTTCATGTATCTGTTCATTTTGTTTCACGCGTTTAAGTGACAGCGCGATTTGGTTGGCGATATTCACGCCTCGGCTCGCTGGACGAATAAGCGCGGAAGCTATCATATACTCGTCCCAAGGCAGTTTTGTCGGTGCGGCTTTCATGTCGTGAAGGGCGATCCACAGCAGATGGTAGGGGCACGTTATTCAGTGAGGGCGGGCATGGGGATGGGGTTCGCCCCCGGAAGCAGTAACCACCAGACAGGTCATTGGCATTTTGGTACGCCCCGAAGTTCCAGAGACACGTTTGCGGATGATCCCATTGACAAGCATTGTGAAGGTTATGGCACGCAAAAGGTAGACATTCCGACAGCGTCCAGATCCTTCGCTGCGTCCAAGCACGCCGCTGGTGTTTCGGGCCAGCGAATTCTCTGCAGCTGGCGTGAAGGGCGCCAAGGTGACTCAGGGCCCCCTCAACCAGGACATTGCCAACCAACCAGGACTTTGAAAATCCCCTGGAGAGAAAAAGAAACGGAACATGCTTCGACACACGTCTGCAGTTTTTTGGGTGCGCCAGTGTCTTGGTTCATCAGAAGTCCTTGTTAAGGGGGTTCAGAGTGACTCCTCTGGCTTGGGCGGTCTTGCTGCCCCCTGTTTTGAAGAACAAGGTACCGCATCAATATATTTTGGATGTTCGGGATGTTACTGATCGGCGCTAGGACCCCAGTGCGGCGCCTTTGGAGCCGCCCCTGGCGCGCTCCGCGCGCCAGGGCGGGGGTGTCCAGCGCCGATTCAAGAAGTCCGCGCGGATCTGCGAGAAATTCTATGTGTGCCATTTGCCATTTGTTGTGTTTTTATCGCTGGAGGGAAAACCTGCGCAAATACAGATACAATTCATTTCCAGGAGAACCATGTAATACATTGGCCTATGGGAATGCAGGGGACGATGAACCCCCAGTAACAAAAATACAACGTATATGGAATCTTGGCATTCGTGTGAATTGATTGGCGTTTCCCTGGTCCGCTTTACCATCGCTGCCCCCCTCCCGAGGAACACGGGCCGAGCGAGCACAGGTCCCGCATCGCCGCGGTGCTGGTCGGGGAGGCGAACCGACCCCCCCCCCCACCCCAGCAGCGCGCCTCGAGGTTCAGGGAGGGGGTGCGGACGCGGAGAACCGCCCGGGGAGCGTTGTGGCAGGGCTGCCGACGATTGGTACGACCGAAGAGGGTACGGCAGGTTCGCGTCGTGTCGACCGGCGGCGACCCCGCCAGCGGCGTTCAACGTTGAACGCCGCGGGCGGCCCAGAATCGTTCGATGTGGAACGACTTGGACGTTTCGGAAAAGCCCGATCGTTCAAGGTTGAACGATCCCCGCGGTGTCAAGAACCAACACCAGGGTCGACACGACACGAACCTGCCGTACGGAAAGAATGAGTGCGAAGGCCGACAGCAGTTTTGGTTCATTCTTAGCGTGATTCGCTGTCGGCGTTGCCACGGCCGCTGTCCAACAGCGGCCGCTGTCGGTTTTGGACAAGATCAGTTGTTGGTAATCGTATGTATTTTTTGTCCGTGCCCGTGTCGGGCTTTCTACGGGGTGCAGACACGGCGTGGCAAGGCCAGGCTTCAGAGAACCGCATGGGGGGCGTTCTGGCAGGGCTGTCGACGATCCCAGAGATCCAACGTATTAAAAAGATCAGGACGGAGCTGTTTCGCCTTTTTTCGTCCTCTGAAGGCCGTCGCCGGGCCCCGGGATCCAAACACCGGCCCTGGGGAAAGAGGGTCGAGACTTCTGGGGACCTTGGATGGGAAAAGTCCAGACATCGGATTTTGGAGTGGTCTCCCCATGAGTCCGATGCGGGGATCCATACAGGGATCCATACAACCACCGCCTGGAGGATCGACCTTCGAAGACCTCGAGAGGCGGTGGGCATTTATGTCTTCGGGCCCCCTGGGGCCCAAATTTTTCCAGAAGCACCGCCCGCTGGGGTCCAATGACGTCGATTCCACGGGCGGTGGATATAGATATACCCCCGCCTCGCGATGAGGAGGAGGAGGAGGAGGAGGAGGAGGAAGAGGAGGAGGTGTCAGGAGAGGGAGGTGGAGAAGGTGTCAGGAGGATGAGCAGCAGCAGGAGGGGTTGGGAGGGTCGGGCGCGAAAGAGGCTCGCGCTGCCCATGCCAGGCCAGGACGGAGGGATAAGGTGTGAGGGGAGAGGGGGGCTTGGGACGGCATGGTGACCAACAGATGGGCGACTCAGAAAACGGGGTCTATGGCACGTGCATTCGCGTGCGAATTTCCCGCGAAGGGTTGCGCGCAAAGAACCCTCCTCTCTACGAGGTGCGCCGCGTCAGGGCCATGTGGTGCCGCGAGGGCCACGGCCTCGTGCATCAGACCCATCTCTCCTTCATCGCCTGGACGGCCAGCCAGTTCGGGCGTCCCCGCGAGGAGGACAAGAGCTTCGCCAAGCTCGCAGAGAACAAGTATGCCAGCCACGTTGTCCAGGCTCGCTCTTGCGGTCTGGGGGGGCAGGCGAACGCGGACGAGGATATACGTGTATATCAGTATACATATATATATGTGTGTGTACATGACCGCTGTCAGGGCTGTGGATGCGGAGGCACGTTCCGAGACTGCATGCGGGCCGTTGGATTCGTAGATGTTCCGATGGGCTTGCAGAGGTTATGTCTCGCGGCGGCGACATTCGGACAATTTCTGCCAGGATCGAGCAACGACTCCAAAGTTATCGACGGAATATTCCCACGTGAACCCTATGGCAGCGGTGGCAAACAAAATATGCTGTTCATCATAGTCAGTATGCTGGTCGGAATGGTAGGACGCCCCATTGTCCTTGAAGCGTATCGTCTGATTCAGTCCCTGAGGCGTTCGCGAGGCTGCGCAAAGGAGGCCGGGCAGTTTGCCAACGGCACCTCTCCACTGGCCGAGCCCCGCTGTCTTGGCCGCTGTCGTGCCACCACACAATGCAGTTGAAAGGAGGACAGAACACGGGGCGGGCGGGAGGGTGGCAAGCAGGCAGACGGTAGCTGCGGCCGCGGCAGCCGTCGTTGCATTGCCTTGTCGCGGCCCGGGCAGCACGCCATGAAGCACTGCTCCGTCACCGACCGGCGCCGCTTGGTGAGCAAGGTCCTCGAGGTGGAAGCGAAGGCTCGTGCCCGCTCCTGCCTCCATGGGGATCACCCAGGGACGGAGCAGATGGGAGTGGTCGGCTCTCTTGTTGTTGCTCCGTCGTTTTCGATAGCAGAGCGTGGGAGCCTTGTATCCCCCCGTAGCTCCGTCTTTCAAGTGCGTCAGCGCCGATAAGCGTCGGCTTAGCTTCGATTCGCGTCGGTCAGCGTCGACTCGCGTCGATTCGCAAGAGCCAACAACATGGTATGAGATGCTTCCAGGAGTTGCCACCGACGCTGCGCTTTCGAGAGAGCGCCGTCGAGGCTTCTCTTCGGAGAAGGCAGGAGGGGCGAGGCGATATCCGTGCAGAATAGGAGGGCAGGGGCAGAGCACGACTGAGAGAGGCAGGCGCGCCTCGGGGAAGACGAGTTCACACCGAAATGTTGGAGCTGACTGTCGGGGGAGCGTAAGACCCAGGTTTGCCAGGACTCGGGTTCGCCATCGTTTTTTTGACGACCGCGACTCGGATTTTGACGAGTAGGAGTTTCGTGGGATGTCTGCAGCGGGAGGCCTCGTCAAAATGCACGCTCGGCCACCGTCATTTTTTTGACGATCTCGTCGGGGATTTCCGAGTTCCCTGTGCCCGGGTCTTACGCCTCCCTGAGACTGGCGAGAGCCAGGGCTCGTGCACGCAAGAAGTGAGTCACCTGCTGTGGGTGCCGTCTTCTGCTCTCGGGTGTCCACTGTCTGCCTTGCCAGCAATCCTGGGCATCCAGGGCGCCCCACTCGCACTTTCGATCCCGGCCGCCTGCACAATGAACACACATATGCACTCAATGCGGCACCCTCCGGCCCGAGCCGAAAGACCTTGCGGCCCGCGGTAGAATATGCAGACCTGTACGCGGGAGAGCAATAGCAGCGCAGAACCCCAATTTTCGTTGGTCGGGCGAACGTCTTGCCCCTCGGGCGTTCAAGACTTTCGCAATGGTGCTATTCCCGAGCCATCTTGTGGCCTGAGAAGCTCGTCATAGCCAACATGACGGTATTGCAGAACAGGAAGACAACGACACATTTGCTGTTGAAGAGTGTTGCCCATCCGGGGGCAGCCGTAATAAGCTTCGTGGCCACCTCGAGCCTTCTTGTGGCGCGTTTGGAATCATGGTGGAAGCCATCTTGTGGCAGTTTGGACTACGTTCTGCCATCTTGGAGGCCAGCGTGGTTTCTCTGGGGGAGTCTCGGCGCCACCAGGGGCCCTCTCGGACGCTCGGATCGCTCGCGGAGGGAAGCGCCCAGACCCACGGGAGGGGGCATATGGGGAGAGGCAGACCCCTCCCCAAAGGGAGAAGTGGAAAAGTTTATCCGTTCGTGGAGATTTGCCCAGGACTCCAAGTTCAAGCGATCCGTCTACGGCAGCTTCGTCGCCAGCGAGGCCGCGCGATCCCCTCGCAAGGTATTCCTTTGGTTTGCTTTTTCAGCTTAAAACGAGACGTCACCTCCTTCGTCAACGCCTCCCCTCACTCTTCCAGGCCTCTGGTCGCTCCCGCAGTCACTGATGTGCGCACGCCGTCCAATTCATGCTTGCATGTGTTGGCAGCCTGTGTGTCGGATCCGCCTGGCTCGATGCATCTAAATTTTCTGCATTTGCAACATGGTGTTTCTGATCATGGGCGGGGCTGTTTCCGAATTGGTCACCGTATATGTGTCTACAGATTTATACGTACAGCTTTCAATGTGCGTTTTCACAAATGAGGAGTGGTGCGATCGAGGTGCGAACGACATGTGAAATGCACAGACACACACATCTTTATGCAGACAGAGAGAGAGAGAGAGAGAGAGAGAGAGAGAAAAAAAGAAAGCTATAGCAACCGGGGATGATTGTGCATCCTAGTCGAAGCCGCCTACGGGCAGCCATCGCCGCCCCGTGCCTTTGCTTGTGGACTGCGTGCCTCTCCAGCTGTTGGGCCGTATTGGGGCTACCGTGGTAATCCTTATTGGCCTTTGGGGACCTCTCTGGGTACATCCGGTGCCCTCTTCAGCCATCTGAAAGGCCCTGTCGCCTCAGGGCGTTCGTGGGCCGTTTGGCGCAGTCGGCGGCCGTGTTGGGGGCTTGTTTGGGGCATTTTGGTGCTACGCAGGGCCGTCTTACGGCTCTCCTGGGTCCTCCCAGGATCTTTTAGAGCCGTCTTGGGTTTGTCATGGGGCTGGAGCCAGACGCGAGGATACATCGCCGATCCCCTCTCCTCCTTCAATCTACCAGATCTTGCGGCTATCGGCTGCGCCGCCTCCTCTCCTCCTCCTACTACGCAAGGCACTCTCACAGCAGGACATGGGCACAACCCACAGGTTGTGCCATTTTCCCCCCGCGCCGGGCAAGGAGAGCCTCCCCAGGCTGAGGCTGAGGCAGACGACCCGGGCCACTATACGCAGACGCCCAGTACTGCGCAGGGCACTCTTACTGCAGGACATGGGCACAACTCCCATCCTGGCACAGGCCTCCCAATTGTGAGCAGTTCCCCCCGCACCGTGCCAGCCTGGCGGCCAACCTTGAGGCTTGCATTTCCCCGCAAAGTCCTGCCAGGCGCGCAGCTGGAGCTGTCGCGAGCAGATCGCGAGTCCCCCAGCCAGGGCAGCGAGGCCCTTGCGGTGGAAACTTGCGGCCAGGACGCACGACCACACCAGAGGCCAGACCCGCGGCAATGGCCAGAGAGCCCAAAGACCCCCAGCTGTACAAAACAGGAATCAACAACATCCAGTGGGACCTCCCCGGGGAGACGCCCGGCGAAGCGATACGACGACTCCAAGTCACACTAGGATCGATGTTCACTGGCACCTGGCACGCTTTCGCCAAGCGGCAGTCTGTGCCCGGCAGCAAGGGCGCGCTCGACCCGCTACGGCACGACCCGCAAACCTACCACCTCTTCCTGGAGTCCTTCCGCAGCCACAAGTGCGACGTACGGGTCCTCAGCGACGCGCCGGGTATCAACGTCGACTGGACCCGGCAGAGGCAGCTGCACCTGGGTCGGTGGCGCCCGGCTCACGTGGCACTGTCCAGAGGAAAGGTGCGGGAAGTCACGGCGGAAGCGACGGGGGCTGCGGAGGCCGCGGAGCATCCTTTCTGGACTATCCGTCCGTCAGCCGTCCTCTGACTGTGCCTCGCTCGCAGCAGGGAGACCACGGGACAGCCATCCATACGCAGGACAACGCAGCCCTCCGCCGGCCCGTTCTCTGGTCCATACGGGAGAACCGCCACCGGTGGCGTTGCTGCCCTGCGCAAGTGGCACGTGTTTTGGCAGGCTCCTCCTTCCCACGGCGGGCCCGGCCCACTGCTGTGAAGGTTGTTCCCCCAGCTCCTGCGACGGAGTACATCCGACGACTGGTGGCCTTGCTCTGGCGGCCTGTCCCCCCCCCACCAGGCAGGCACCTTCCCTTCGGCTACATTCCGACTTCGCCACGTTGGGTCCTCGACTGCCTGTGTCGCCCCCTGGCTCTCCTCCTCCTCTGTTTTCAATTGGATTGCGGCTATCGGCTGCGCCCCCCCCTCTTCCCTCACGACGACTGCAGTGGCGGGCCCTTCGACCACCGCCTGCGGGTGGGCCCAGGTAAGGCACACTCCTGCACAAGTGGTTCATCCTTTGGCTGGCTCTGCCTTCCCACGACGGGCCCGCCCCGCTGCACGACGCCGACGACCTTTCCCCCCAGACACGCCCCTGGCAACGCTTTGTTGGGTCCTCGGCAGTCTGTGTCGCCTGGCCACCTGCGCCTCTCCTTCCACCAGTATTCAGTTGTTTTGCGGCTATCGGCTGCGCCTTCCCGCAACTGGTCAAGGCCACCTGAGGTGCTGGCTGGAGGGCCTGAGGAAGACGGTTCCCTGTACAAGTGGTTCGTCCTTTGGCAGGACCTCCCCCCGCACGGCCAGTCCTCGAGCACATGAGGTGCTCTGTGAATGAGGCTTCCTGTGCCCTTCCTGTCTCCCTCTGCCCTCTTTTCCGCGCCTGTCCTCGCCTCTGCTTCTTCTCTCCGTGTTCCCCACTGGTCTTTCGCAGGCCTGCGCCTCGGGAGCTGGCCCCACTGTGCGACCTCCCGCTGGCCTTCGTGTCTGCCGCCGTCATTGTTCGGCTTAATGAGGTTCATTTTGTTCCTCGCACGTGCACTCCGGCGTTGGCTTTTGGCCCGCTGGCAATGGTCTTGCTTATCGCCCCATGCTCGCTGCTTGAAGGTGTGGTCGGCTGTCGACAGTGACGGCTGGATTCGCAAAGTATTGTAGTGGCCTTCGGCCAGTGCCGCCGATCCGGGTCGCTCGGGGTTATTCTCCAGACGCAGAAATTATGGGCGCACACTCAAACGCACACACACAGTCACACCACTTAACCTGCGCCGCAGACATGCGCACACAGCATCACCCACACACACATACTAGTTGGGAAACGCTCCTGTAGTACTAGTAGTAGTATAGTAGTAGTAGTAGTAGTAGTAGTAGCAGTAGTAGTAGTAGTAGTAGTAGTAGTAGTGGTAGTAGTAGTAGTAGTAGTGGTTGTGGTAGTAGTGGTAGTAGTAGTAGAGGCCTCGTTCCGCGGCTTCTCTCGACTTCCCGCGGTCTCTCTCAAGTTTCGAGCACGCGGTGAGTTTCACGATATATGTGTGTGTATGTACGCGTGCATGCATGTATGCATGCATTGATCATGTGTGCCTGTGTGTAGGTACGTATGTATGTATGTATGCTTGTGCGCGTATGTATGTTTTTAGTTTGTATGTATGTTTGTATGTGTGTATGATAATATGTGTGTATGTGTGTGAATGTAAGTATGTATGTCTGGAAGATTGTTTTTCTATGTATGCAAATGTGTTTAAATGTAGGTATGTATGCATGTGTGTATGGATGTGCGTTTGAAGAGCGAGGATGTTTCAAAGAAGAGGCACTCGGTGACGCGATCGTTGAGGGATAGGAGTGAGGTCGCAGAGGAGGAGGAGGAGAATGAGGAAGAGGCGATAACTTGAAGGAAAACGATGAGACGGAGGACATCCTGCCGGTGGCGCCCTGGGCGGTGCCGCGGAAGAAACCGGGGGCCTGCCGGAGGCAGTCTGGAGGCCTCTGGGGAGCTGTTTTGGGGCCTCTTGGAACCTCTTTTGGGCCTCTTGTGGGCTTCTTGGGGCCCCTTGGGGGTCTCTTGGGGCCTCCTGGGGGCCTCTTGGGGCGGAAAGCTCGGTTCTTTCGGTTCGTGGTCCCCCTCTTGGGCCCCTCTTGGGGCTCTCTTGGGGCCTTCTTGGGCTGTCCAGAGGCCCTCTTGGGCCGTCTTGGGGCCCTCTTGGGCCGTCTTGGGGCTCTCTTGGGCCGTGTTGGAAGCATCGTGGGCCGTCTTGGGACGGACTTGGGGGCCTCTTGGGCCGTCTTCGAGCGTCGGACGCCCGAAAAGGCAAGAACGCTAAAAACCCTGAGAAAACCAATGAAAATCAACGATTCTGGCCTCTTGGGGCCCTCTTGGGAGGCCTCTTGGAAGCTTCTTGGGGCGTCTTGGAGACACCTTGGGCCGTCTGGAGGCCATCTCGGGCGTCTTGGAGCGATTTTTCGGCGACTCGGGGCCCTCTTGGAACCCCTTGGGGGTCTCTTGGGCCCCCCCCCTCCTCCAAAGCGCCGGAAAAAGCGGAGCATGGCGCCCCCCCCCCCCCTATCTTCCACTCCCCCGGAGCGGCCCCGGGGTTCGCCGGAAACTCGCACCCCCCCCCCCCCACCCCACCCCCCCTTCCCCGGCAGAGCCACCCCGGCGACCCCCCCAGAGGCTGAAGCTCAGCCTCGAGGCTGTAGCTGAGACTCCTTGAAACTCACACGCCGGACGGCTGGATTCGCAAAGTATTTGGCTTTGTGCCCCAGACGACCTGATTGGCCCGCCCTCTGGAATCGTCCTTTGGGCCGCAGATCAAAATTAGCCTGGTGAGGGACCCAGCCATACGCAATTGTGGATACAGCAATTGTGAATGCTATCTTCGCCCGCGCCCCCTATGTGGCCACGGCTTCCCGCCGGAGCCCGACATGCTCAGGGGCACGTTTGTGGCCGTCTTCGCGGGCGCCGACGACCACGAGGACGGCGCCCCCCTGACCGAAGAGCAAAAGCAGGAAAGGGTTCTGCGAACCATGAGGGAGACTGCCATTGGCGCCTTCGGTGGAGCTCCTATGGGGCCACGATCCTCATGAGGGGTGTGCCGAAATGGCCCGAGGCCGCCATGCGAACCCTGCCACTGGGGGCCGTCGGTGGAGCTCCCTATGGGGCCACGATCCTCGTGAGAGGTGTGCCGAAATGGCCCGGGGCCGCCATGAGAACCCTGCCAGTGGGGCCTTCGATGGAGCTCCTCATGGGGCCACGATCCTTGTGAGGGGTGTGCCGGAGCCTTCGGTGGGGCTCCCTATGGGGCCACGATCCTCGTGAGGGGTATGCC